TATTTTATTTTATTTTATTTTATTTTCAGTACTGAGGATTGAACTCAGGACTTGCCAGGCAGGCACTTATCCCACAGAGTCATCTCCCCAGCCCAACATTTTTAACTTTTATTAGCACATGTTTGTAGTGATTGCACTCCTTGGGGAGAACTGGTAGGTATATATAACCCATCTTAATTCATTTTCATCCTTTTCACTTCCTCCCCTTCTCCCCCCATCTCTTGTTTCCTTTCCCTTGTATACAAGATCTGTCTCCTAGTTTCCCATTGCTTTTTTATTTTATTCTTTAATTTTAAAAATCTTTTGGGTTTCTCATAGAAAAGAAATCATGCAATATTTAAGCAACTAGAGTCTGTCCAGAAAGTCCTTTCTTATGCATATGTCAAGAGTTTTACCTATGTTTTCTTTTCCTTTTTCCTTCCTTCCTTCCTTCCTTCCTTCCTTCCTTCCTTCCTTCCTTCCTTCCTTCCTTTCTTGCTTCCTTCCTTGCTTCCTTCCTTGCTTCCTCCTCCTCCTCCCCCTCCTCCTCCTCCCTCTCTCTTCTGGTACCAGGGATTGCACTTAACACTTTGCACTTGCCAGGAAGGCACCTATGCTTCTGAGCTATATTGCTGGCCCATTATATTTCAATGGACTAAATGTTTTTCCTATAACATTTAGATCATTGATCTATTTTGAGTTTAGTTTAATAGGCGGTGAGAGATTTGGTTCTATGTTCAAACTTCTCAGGTGGATAACCAGTTTTCCCAGTTCTGTTTGTCAAAGATGCTATCATTCCTCAGGGGTATGTTTTAGACTTCTTTGTCAAGGATCAGATGGCCGAGTGGGTCTGGGGTTGTTATCCTCCCCAGCCCTGGGATTACAGGTGTGCCTCACCATGCTTGGCCATCTTGTAGTTCTTTGATTCATTTTTCCTGTTGTCTTATTGTTCTTAAGGCATCTGTGGCCATAGTGTACTATAAAGTATATGTAGCACAAGCCATACTCTGCTAGTATGGTGACGTGGTTAGTGCTTTGTATTTCACTGATGCATTCTTGGCATGGTGAACTATGGTCACAGCTAACTATAGGCAATCTTTTAGGTCTTCCATCATGACCCCATATTGGCAATTTTCAGTAGACTTTTTAATTTCCTGGATTTATGTTTGGTATCTTTCAATGGATCCCAGTTATGTGATAATCTTGTCACTCACGATTTGCATCTTTTTTTTTTTCTCACTGAGCTTTTTTTTTTTTTTTTTTTTTTGAGGGGGGCAATGTCTTCTGTAAACTCTTGATCATATTCTTTTTTATCTTTCTCTTTCTTTCTTTCTTTCTTTCTTTCTTTCTTTCTTTCTTTCTTTCTTTCTCTTTGTCTTCTTGAGACAGGGTCTTGCTGTGCAGTTTACACTGGGCTTGAGCTCACTTTGTAGCCCAGGCTAATCTTGAACTCACATCGATCCTCCTGCCTCAGCCTCCTAAGTTTTGGGATAAAAGGTGTGCACCACCATGCTCAGCTGTTTATTAAATTTTTTTTCTGTTTAATTATATTGTTTGTCAGCTCATTGAGCACCTTATTGATCTATTGTTTATCTTCTCTTCCATCATTTTTATCGTTTGAATAACTCAGCCTTGTGGCTTTTGATTTCTTCCCTCTCAATGTCCCATGGATTAATTGTGGAGGAGTTAAAAGATTTTGGAGGCATTTTGTTGTCTCGTGTGTGTGTGCATGTGCGTGTGTGCTGGAATTTACAGTGGAAGGACTTTGTTGTCTGGCGATATCTGTGGTTAGTGTTTTCTTTTCCATTGATGCATTCTTGGCATGGCTAGTCATAGGCTGTTGCCTCTGTCTTAAGGTTCAACCCTCTCTGATTCATTTAGGAAGGAAGAGTGAAGTATAATTAGCCAATATGCAGTTCCCCAGGAATGGACACAGTATTTTTAATAACACAAAAATAATCCAGATATTGTCATGCAGAGAATACTAATTAGCATCAGCAATTCTATAACCCTGGA